GGGGACACGGAGGGTCCCCAGCTCCCGGGGCCGCCCCGCCCCCGTTCCCCGGGGCCACCTGCGCGTCCCCGCCGTTGTCACCGCAGGGTCCCCCCGGGTCCCCCCCCGGCGCCGCCGCCACATCAAGGGAGGGACCCGCAGGTGCGCGGGGGGGGACAGGGACGCGGGGGGAGTGTGACACACGTGTGACAGCCTGTGACACACATGTGGGACCTGTGACACACGTGTGACAGCCTGTGACACGCGTGGGACACCTGGCACACGTGTGCGGGACCCGTGACACACATGAACAGCCTGTGACACGCGTGTGGGACATGTGACATGGGTGTGAGCCCTGAAACAGGCGAGTGGAGGTCACAACAGCCGTGGGCAGCGTGTGACACGTGTGACACACCAAAACACGCGTGTGCAGCCCGTGACACACGTGTGTGCCCTGTGACACACCTGTACAGCCCATGACACACGTGTACACACTGACACACACGTGTACAGCCTGTGACACACCCGCGTGCCCTCTGACACACGCGTGACACCCCAAAACACGCGTATGCAGCCCATGACACACGTGTGTGCCCTGTGACACACCTGTACAGCCCATGACACATGTGTACACACTGACACACGCATGTGCAGCCTGTGACACACCTGTACAGCCCGTGACACACCTGTGCACGCTGACACACGCGTGTGCAGCCTGTGACACACCTGTACAGCCCGTGACACACGTGTACACACTGACACACGCGTGTACAGCCTGTGACACACGTGTGTGCCCTGTGACACGCCTGTACAGCCTGTGACACACCTGTGCACGCTGACACATGCGTGTGCAGGCCGTGACACGCGTGTACAACCCGTGACACACCCGTGTGCCCAGTAACAGGCATGCACAGCCTGTGACACACCTATGCACGCTGACACACGCGTGTGCAGCCCGTGACACACCCGCGCACCCCAAAACTCGCGTGTGCAGCCCGTGTCACGCCTGTGCGCGCTGTGACACGCGTGCGCTCCCCATGACACACCCGCGCACCCCAAAACTCGGGTGTGCAGCCCCCCACCCCCCCCCTTGCACGCCCACC